TATATATATATATGTAGGGAAATATATATAGGAGAAATAGATGGATAGTCATAGATTTGCCAGGATGGCCAGCACATGCATCGTGCACCATTGAATCCCCACATGCCCTATATAGTGGCCAGCCAGACCGGCCACCTCGGAAGCCAGAGATAAAACCCAGTAGCTGCCACCAAGCCCAACAACATTCGCCCTATAGGTATGCAAGCCCCAAGCTATCATTTTGCCCAAAGCCATAAGCAATCCAAGCAACAAGCTCCAAGTGACCCGGAACAGGCAACACTAGTTTCCACAGTGCCTTGCAGTATCCACAGAAAAGTTTTCCACACAGAAGTTTTCCGGAACCCAACCCACCAAGTAGCTTTGTGAGACTTGCCAGGAGCTGTTGTATCAGTGTTTTCGAATGCATATCTGACCAGCCTTGGAATCCATACTGTCTGGCCGTCGCTCGCCTCATCCAGCGGCTCGGGAGATTCAATCCCAACACGAATAATCACGAGGCAGTCCCAGGTGTTAATAAGTACCATCCGCAGCAACACCAATCATCACAAATACGTATACTTTTCATATAAGATTACGGTTCAAGTCCAGGTCACAGGGTTTTACACTTAGGTTTATTATTCAATCCTAAGTACAATGATTTTTCACTTAGGTTCATTTTTCAATCCTAAGTTCCAAATATTTGCACTTAGGTTCATTTTTCAATCCTAAGTGCCAAATATTTGCACTTAGGATTGAAAAATGAACCTAAGTGAAAAATCATTGTACTTAGGATTGAAAAATAAACCTAAGTTTTAATGGTATTCCAATAGAAGCCATATGACCCATGGTAGGACTTCCTGGAGTTTTCCACGTCGAAGCCATGGAAGACGACCGTGCAACCGTGGCACCCAGCAGTCCAGTCAGCGATGGCCAGGAGTCCGTGGCCACAATTTTGCCAGAGGAGGATGGGCCTCCAAAGGCCAAGCCCAGACGGGAGGGTGCGAAGCAGCCGGCCACAAAGCCATGTGTTCCATGGCCTGGTCCATGTGGTTGGTTGCCGCC